AATTCCCTTCTCGCGATCTTGGGCACACATGCACCCGTGCTCGGCGTGAGTTTTAAGCCACCGGGTCCAGGACACGAACCACAGTCGACTACGTGGGAGTCCAGTGACATAGCCATTATGCTAACTGCTGGTTCCCGGAGGCCTCACCTCTTAATGTCGGCCTTCCAGGGTTAGGGTTTCAGCATGGGGGCGGACACGGCCCTTCTGCGCCATGTGCCTGCAGTCCGAGGTTGACATGCGTGGTGCCGGCAGGCCGAGGCCAAGCACCCGCCGACACCCGTGCACGCATCCAAACCGTCTGGACAGCATTGCTGCCGTGCGGCCAGCAGGCAGTGTCACTCCTCCCGAGCACCCACCAGCTGCCCAGGCCCGTAGGCGTTTGTTGGCCTGCCAGCCCCTCGCCCGCTCGCTCCACAAGCTTGCTGGCTCAGCAGGGCACCCGCAGTGCGTCCTTCAGCTGCCACCATGCGGAGCACCGACTCCAGGACTTAGAGTTAGCAGTCGATGCTTGCCGTCTCGGGCATGGCTGCCGTGGGCGACCCGTGAGCGTGGTATGACCGTGACCATCCGTGCATACTGTGGGAGGCAGTGTGACACGGTTCCCCACGTAGAACCCCCTAAGCAGGACTGCCCGGGTAGGGGAGAGCGTGTGCTCGGCACCTCGGCCTGGCCTCTGCTGTGGGGCCCAGGTCCCTGTGAGGTGGGTGTGCAGGCCGGGCGGGAGCCTAGCAGCGTACTTGCCCTGCATGTCCGGGGTCCAGGGCGGGAGCCTGGCAGGCCGCCTTGGCAAGGAAGGAGCCCGTTGACACCGCCCGGTATGGTGACACCACCCTGGGGGGGTTCGGCCCGGCCTCGTGGACGACGTCTGTCTGTCTTGTAGGCAGACCAACAGCTGGTGAAGAAAGGGAAGAGCAAGGTGGGGGACATGCTGGAGAAGGCCGCCGAGCTGCTGATGAGCTGCTTCCGCGTCTGCGCCAGCGACACGTGAGTACGCCTGTCCCTGCCCGTCGGCCCCCATGTGTGCTCTCAGGGCGGCTGTGTACCCCCGTGACGTCGCAAGTTGTACTCCGGCTCTCCAGGGAGCGCACGCGCCCTAGAGCAAAACATGACAAGAGGAGGGGGGCTTGTGAAAGGAGCGTGGCCGCTCCACGGCCCCGTTTCCAGGCTCTCCCCAGCCCTCCTACCCGAGGGCCTGTCCACAGCATCTGGTGTTGAGTGCAGTCTGTCGGCTGTGGGTTTCTCTGAGCTTCAGCTTTTCTGAAATTCTTTATCTTCTTTTTTACGTTGCCAGAGGGCACGTGTGCTCACTAGAGAGACAGGGAGAAAGCACCCGGGTGAGGTCCCACCAGGAACCCAGCCCCACTCAGAGGGCCCCGACTCGCGGCACCTGCAGGGCTAAGGGAGTCCGTCACGGATCTCGCAGGCAGGACGCCGGGAGCGTCACGGGGCCGTGGCAGGCCGGCTTGTACGTCCCAGTCCGTGGAGACCAGCAGGCTGTCCTCCCTCCCTGTCCCCTTTGCATCGGGATGCGCGCACGCCGGTGTGCTTTCCAAGTCCCCAGGCCTGGGTTTGACAGCATGCTGACCTCGGGTCTGGCTCCCTCAGGCCCTGGGCGACGGGCTGGCCCTACCCGCCTGTTGAAGACCTCTGTGGCCTGCGGGGACCTGCCCCGCGGCTTTCCCTGCTGG